CCTGATGCCTGTTCATCCAGCAATGCCATTTGTTTTTCCGACGACCAAGCGTACTGTTGGCAAAATATAGGAAAGTTATGGAACAGCACACACAATGAGGACAACGCCTAGCGCAATAGGCAACCCATCCTACTCCAGCTGCCTGGGTCAGGAGTGCAGCAGGCGAGGGGGTGGGGAGGAGAGCCCCCCCCCCCCTCCCCGCACACGCGCCAGGCGAGGGGTACTCACAAAAACAATTGTAACATTGTGCACTTATCAGATGGAATTTCATTGAGCCATTGAAATAGAATTTTACACATTGCACTCACCTGAAATAAACTTGGCCTATCGTAATCGAATATTTCACCACCCTCTTGCCTTTTCCTCTCCTCAAAAAAATCCAAATGTTCATCCTTGTGAAGGTCACACTGTAAAAAAACGGGCGTAATTTTATCTGTCCAGTAGAGGGTAAATTTAACCCCGTGGCTTTGAAAACTATGTTGCCAATCAATGGACTGGGAAATCTTTATTCTCCACCCGCTTGGTAAAGTTGTTTGCACAATAACTGTTAAAATTTACGTATGTATAGAGAAAATTACTTTTTGAACATTTTTTTGTAGTTTACATATCCACATGGCAATTTACATATCCACATGGTAAATTTACATCCCATATGTTGTCGAAAATTGCTGGGTGCTTTGGGAGACGCCAGTTACACATCCAAATGGTAATTTTAGGAAGCACTGGATTGGTGTTTTCATGCCATAGAATTCCTGACACGTGACAGCCTATCGAATGCAAGAGCGAGTCGTGGGTCTTAGATAGAAGTCCGTGTCGTCCATTTAGTCACCGTTGAAAGCAAAGACAATCTATAGATGTAAACAGACCTCGTTCCTTTGAGAAGACATCATCTATCGGCGCGTCCCCTCCCAGAGGTAGCCGATGGGTGAGGGGTAGCGTGCGCGCTCCCGAGCCCGGAGGTTACGGGTTCTACTCCCAGCAGGTCTAACATATATTTCTGTATATCAGCAGGCACCAGCCGCTCATAGAAGTTGAGAGGGGCACGCGAACAGGTTGGGACCCTGCATATCGTCATTTTCTTCTTACTAACTGATCTTTTACGCTTGCCCGTGCAAATTTACCATGTGGATTGGGATATGCGGTCTTACCTATCCACAATTAAAATTACCACTTGGATGCGCAAACGTCTAGAATTAAATGGAAGATTACCATGTGGATACGCAAAACATTTTCCCCTATCCATGTGCATGGAAATGTCCCATGCTATGGATAGCGAAATTAGTGAGCAATTGGACATGAAAATTTACCCATTGCGGTTGGGGAAAGGGGCGTTTACTCATCCACCTGCGCAATTTTGCCCTAAAAATTTCTTACAGTGCATCTCTTCTTTTCATCTTGCTACTCAGGTCATGCAGAGTTTGCAGGGGTCCTGGTCTCGGCAGTCTGGGGTCAGCTCC